GTGAAGTTAATAAATTAGCCTCTTATCCATGAGAACGTGATGCTGTTCTGCTTAGCTGTTTTTTAGTTTGTGTTTCCATTTTGCAATCATGCGGGAAAAGCTGCAGTGCAAGTTTGGACATGTTGGTGTGTCTGTTTGCATACGTAACTGTATGAGCACAAATATGTGTATTCAGTTTTCATAGATACTCCTTGCCAGAAAAGCTGGTGTTACAAACCTGCAAATTAATAATCACAGATAGAGGAAGGATCCTCACTATATACAGACATTCACACCAGCATCAAGTTGCAAAGAGGGCTGAGGCTGAGACACATTTCAGTCTTGTTTTACCATTTAAATAAGGACTTATTTGTGTTATGGTTTCTCTGGGTTCTTGTGTTATTTTGGTTCTAGTCTGGTTTTCTGTCTTGTCCCTCTCTGTTTAAGGCTGCGTCACACTGCAAGATTTTAAAACAGTCGGCCGATTTCCAAAGACTGAGAGCCCACACGTGAGGATAACAAATCATGGATCTACCAGGCTTGGTCCTACAGTGTGTGGTGTACAGCCACATGGCAAGAGACAACACACCACACATGAAAAGATGTTTCCAGTGGTGGGCAGCGCTAATCCAAAAATTAGCTCCGTAATTTCTAAAGCGCTTATGAAAATATTTAGGTCCGCAACTTCAAAAGCGCTTATGCCGTAGAAATACTAGCAGAAGCTAATTTTAAAGCGCAAGTTCAATTTGACACTTACTAGCCGGCAACAATTCATGTACAATATATGCACAACACTGCCAACTAGCGGTGCATGAACTCTTTTACAACTTAATTCTACAACCGCCAATTGCTGGGGATGCRATTTCCTGAAACAGACCTTTAGCTCCTGGTGTAAAAATTAAAACGTTGTTGAGGATTGCTAGTTCGGCCTTTTCTTTGTCTTTTTCTTTTGTTTGTTGTAGATTTTTCATTAAAGAAGCATCAATAAAGTAATTTTAAAACGGTTTATTGGAAAACTGAAGCGATGTATTCTGGGTACATGACGGATTTGATTTGTGACAGGAAATGAAAGCATGGAGTTCAAGAAACTATCTTCCCTTCAAAATAAGAGCTTTGATTTTAAAGTTTTTCATGTAGTTGCTCCAGTTGACCACTAGATGTCTGTCTTCATCAGCATAACATTTAAATTATTTCTGCGTTGCTTCGACCAATTACGTCAAGTATTGAGCTCCAGCATTTAAACTTTTTTTTAAAAGGAGCTCCGATTGTAAAGCAAAATAATAAATAAATTCATAAAACTTTTTAGTATGGATTACAAACGTTAACTGTTTTTGCTATTGCCTTCTTGCTATGTAAGGAGACACAAAGCATTGTGGGAAATGAGAACTGTGACTGAAAGCAACAGTCAGCAAGGATGTATACCTTTCCAATAAGTGTGTTTATCTGGGAGGGGTGCTGTTGGTTAGATCACATGTGTTGTGATTCATTTACAGCCTTATTCCACTGTTCAAGATAATGATGACTGGTAGATAATTAGTTACTAGCCGTACTGCGTTTTAATTTTAGAAAGCGCAAATCCGCTTATGAATTATAAAAATTAGTAAGACCGCTAAAGCATAAACAGAATATTTAGGTCTGCAATTAGCGGATTTGTGCTATAGCGGGCTGGTGCCCACCACTGGATATTTCATTCATGAACATTCAGTTGTCAGATATTAAATCACACGAGACTTCCTGAAACCTCGCGAGAATTCAGATGTCGTAGAAAAAATCTCACGTGACCTCCAGAGAGACGTGCGTTCAGAGTAAATAAACATTTGTGACGAGGAAGAAACAATTTTGATCGTTTGTGGACTGTTTTTACCAGAGGAAAAATAATTCCATAGGACTTTTAACATCCAGCAGACTTTCTGGTGAGTCATGACAGTTTTTTCTTCTGTATTTTAGAATCCCCTCCATGTTTATGTCACCTCGCTTTCTGATTGGCTACACATCTTATTCAACAGGCCGCAAGCTCGTTTGTTCTCAGGTGAATGTCACACACATCGTGATCTCGGGCCAAAAAATCAAACGTTGAATATCCCTGATTTGAGGTTGGAGCGGTCCCGACGTCCTTCCGAGCCGACTAGATCACTCTTAACTCACCACCCACGGCGGGAATATCTGCTATGATTCTCTTTAGAGCCATCACGATAATCTGGACTTCCTTAAGATTGTCGGAAGGGCAAAAATCGGCATGATTAGCTTTCCGTGTGACGCAGGCCTTACCCCCTCCTGCCTGTCTTTACTCCAGCCCCGCCCACTCTGACCCTTTCCTCATGTTTCTCCCAGGTGTTTCTTGTTTCTGCTCGTTAGTTCTCCTTTACTTTCTGTTCTCTGTCTTAAGTCTTTGTCGAATCTTTGTTTGTTTGGTGTTCGTGTTCTTGTCATAGCTCATGCTCAAGATTTTGTTCATTTTTGCTGTCGTGAGAGCTATTTGTTTTCTTTAATAAATATTTTTTGCTCAAACTCACCAAGTCCTGCTTTCTGGGGTTCTACCAACCAAGTAATTCATAACAGAGAGATCTGACCACACYTGAACCCCAGCCGACTGAGGTGAATTTTTTTTTCCAGCACCAGGTGGGATTATGGAGGATTTTTTTGTGGTGGCATTGAGGCTGTCTGCACTCCTCAGGTTGAGATACTGAGGATCCTGGAGGAGATTTAGCATGGGCTGACTGGCCTTAAGGGTCTCTTCATCGGGGTATCCTTCAGAGATGGTTGTGCCGGGGGTTTCTGAGGCCCACCCTCCCCATTCCTTGATGCTGGTTCTCCTGGGGGGGGGGGGGGGGGTGTATGTTATGTTTTGTCTGGGTTCTTGTGTTATTTTGGTTCTAGTCTGGTTTTCTGTCTTGTCCYGCTCTGTTTACCCCCTCCTGCCTGTCTTTGCTCCAGCCCCGCCCACTCTCACCTGTTCCTCATGTTTCTCTACCAGGTGTTTCTTGTTTCTGCTTATTAGTTCTCCTTTATATTCTGTTCTCTGTCTTCAGTCTTTGTCAGATCTTTGTTTCTCTTTGGTGTTCTTGTCATAGCTCATGCTCTAGATTTTGTTCATTTTTGCTGTCACGTCAGCTATTTGTTTTCTTTAATAAATATTTTTTGCTTAAACTCACCAAGTCCTGTATTCTGGGGCTCTACCAACCAAGTAATTCATAACAATTTGCAAGTCTTTTCTTATGTTCCCATAATGCAGTTTCAAATTGTTGAACTGCAGTTAGATAAGAATGGCAGCAGACATAAAACTAAGAGGAAGGAGACATTTTTTTTACTTTATTGCTATAGGAAGCAAGGTATTTTTTGTCTACTTTGGTCTCTTAAATTATAGGGTGCCATGTGCATAATCAAATACAGAGTTGTCTTTTTCCCCATTTGTAATGTTGTCACCAGGTGTTTGATCAGGTGCTAGTTCTAGTAGTCATTGCATTGTTTTATAGTAACTAGATTACTAGCTACACTTTATTGTAAACTAAAGGAAGTGTCATTTTAGAGGTAGACAATTACAACATGTTGTCTAATACGTTTAGTTTTGTTTGTTGTTTTTGTGTTTTAGGTTCTCAGGTAGTTGGCAGAGATGGAAAGCGCTTCATTTAATCGAAAGTCCTGGGCGACGCAGTCCTTGCGTGTCACTGCCAGGGAGATATCGCTGGTCGGCGGTCGTGGGAAAAGCAACGCCATCGCAGAACGCTTTTCCAAGTGAGTAACAACTGGTTGATTGTTTGTACTTTGTAAACTACCCCTGATATAAGTCTCTTTCATACAGTTTCATGAACTCATCACACAGACCAGTCCGGCTTTAAGCTCCCTCGGGTCATTCATAATAGCACAGGGGAAGCCGGACAGGTCAGGTTCACATGTACACGTTCAGAAATAAAGCCAGCAGTGTGGAACCAAAAGAGGCACGGAGCAGATCTCAGCTCGGCTGAAGTGGATCGCGACACACTTAGTGTGTGAAGTCTGTCTCGTAACAAACAAAAGAAACTTACTTTAGCGATCCTGTGGTTCAATATTTTTCAAACTAATTACAAAGTTGCTGTCCTGTGCCATCTTTAATAGTCCCTCAGCGATAAATCTGTTGATTAATCCTGCAGTCGCTCACTGACATTTTCCTGGTGTGGGAAAAAAAAAATTACTCATTATTTTTAAAACTAAATACAAAGTTGCTGTTTCCTGTAGTTTTAATTTCCTCTCGGTAATAAATCTGTTGATTAATCCTGCGCACTACAAAATGATACCATCCTTGTAGCAAATGTCATCCGTTAACCTCTTAGAACTGTGAAAAAAGGTCACACTCAACTTTACTGCATTCCAGTTTCAGGTCAGAAAGTTTGTGGAATTTGCTCACTGTGCCGCTCCGAAGGCTAACTCCAATTAGCAATGTGAGCTGACAGCAACTTGTTTCTCAACATCTTTATGAATTCAAACACTGCAGAAACATATTCACTAATAGAAGCTGGATAGTACTATGTCTGTGTATGTTTAATGAGAATGATATGGACAGAAAAGCTAATAAAGGGTTGATTACATCAGCTTTCACAATGTTCTGTCAGCACAGTAGCCATATTGGATTTCAAGATTAGTGGGATTTCTGGCTTTCTACTTTGAAATTTCAGTTCCAGGAGTCATTCGGATGATTTTGATGACATGCAACTTATGGAATATAAATAAAACACAAATAAACACAAATAATATTCTTAAATCCACCATTTGGAACAATTCTGACCAGATGTGGTGCTTGTGTTTGCACCGGAGCCAAGAAAACTGGTCTTCGTCCCAGTGTTTCTCACAGCCTTGGTTTTGAAGTTCTTGCAACTTGTTCTAAATGCATCACTTGGACTTCTGTCTTGTATGGTGTTCCGAAACTGTTTTATGATGGGTCAGAAATTTGAAATGGACGTGGTTAATATACTGGCATTGCTGTTATTATGACTTCCCAGGGGTTTTACACTGGGGTTTGTTTTGAATTATAAAATGTCAATTCAATTCAAATTCAAAAATACTTTATCAATCCCAGAGGGAAATTAGATGTTTTAACTCATTTAACTAAAGAGTTATTGTAGATGGTGATGGCTGTGGGCAGGAAAGATCTTATGTAGTGGTCTGTATTTCAACAAAATTGAAATTGTCCTGGACAGAGCTAACTTTGTTCCTGCTTTTACCACCTTGAAGAATTACACAATTAATTTTTTACTTGTGAAGTATGCAACAAGGTTTAAACCMTTACTTCCGTAAGACAAGATTCCTGTCGGTCTGCAGTTTGCTGAAGATAATGTGGATAATATAGAAGAATGCAGCTCATTTTGTGAACGATAAAATCCAAAACATATATGGTATGCATGAAAAAATTTAAATGCTGAATTCCAATCATAACATATCCTGTCTGTGACAAATGGTGGCGATAGCCTCGTTTTAATCTGTTGCATTTAAAAAGGTTGTTTTGTTTTATTTAACAATGACTTTTGACTGAAAATGACAAAAATTCCATCAAGCTGAACATGACAAGCATTCGTTTATAGTTATTGATACACAATTGTATCACTTTAGAAAATAAGTTTATTAAAGGTTTGATATATTCATTCATTAACAAAAAAATTAAATGCAATATTTTTGTTTGACTTATTTATTATCCATATTTAAGATTTTTTTTGACAGTTTCAAAAGCAAACTTTTAAAACCTTCTTGCTTTGAAGTTTATAAAACATCCAAAGGTTTTAGAAATATGTACTGTAAGTACATGTAAGTATTTGCTCTTTTATGTTGTGAGTCAGTAGAGGTCAGCGTTGTTTCTTTCTCTGCCTCTCAGGTATCAAAAAGCTGCTGAAGATGCAAGTTCTGAGAAGAAAAAAGGAGTAAGTATTTCTCTTCAGCTCTTTTCACAGATGGACAAAAGAAAAAATAGTTTTTGTGTGACATCAGTGGAGAAACATCTCTAACTTTGTGTAAAAGACACAGATGTCAAATCCTGAATTTGATATGAAGACAGCTGGAGATTTCCTGCTCAGAGATTAAACAGTTGAGCGAATTAATTAGGAAGTTACAATTTCTCTTAGAGTTTGAGCCTCTCAAAGCTAACTGCGTGATTAAATAAAGTGTGTGTGCTGCACGTCCTGTGTAATTTGCTCAGTTGACTCTCGTGATGGTGAACTAATTAAAGCTTGGTGAGTTGAGGAATACACACAGACAGAAACACACGATCACACAGACGGTGTCAGCGTGCCAACACACCACTGTCTGGGCCAAATGTCTTGTCCTGGCTGACCTCTCATTGGCTACTTGCTGCAACAGGCAAGCTATCAAACCCATAATCCTACTTCAGTGTAATCCCCCCCTCGTATAACTTACTGAGGTTCAAACTGCAGGTTAGCTGCTCCGTCACTGTGAGAGACTCATAATCAAACTTGGACTGGGATCAAATGAGTAACAGATGAGCACCTGCCATGAGAAAATGCAAGGTAATTTCGCAATGGTTGTGTTTCTCAACATGTTTGTCAGACAGCTGCTGTTAAAGATGAGCACCTTGGTTCTTTGTTTGATGATCCTGCTGGTTTAAACTGACAGCATCTGCTCTCCCTGCTCCTCTTGAAACATGATATAATGTATCTGAAGGTGGATTTTCTACACTGATTACATAAAACTCTAACAAGAATGTTAGTTTCTGTGAAGTTGGTATGATAAATGATATTTTGTTGATATTCACTCCTTAGTCTGGTTGATTTTGAACTATTTTTTCATAGTTTTTAATTCAGAAATCAGCAGTATGAGTTTATGAAGTGGCTTCAGTATTAATAAAATCAAACATTAAAATTGTTTCTGAATAAAGTCTGGTATGATGAGTTTGAGTGTAGTTTGTGAGCATTGTGACAGGCCATCTGTTTGTGTGTGAGGGATGTTGGGGGATGGGAGGAACTTTTCCAGTGTGTTTATAGGATGATCAGTTGATTACAAATCACACAAATAAGTGACAAAAACTATCAGTTTTGGGACATAGTGTGGTGTTCACTCTCATACTGGTCCAACTTTTAAAGCTATCCCTACTTTTTATATGTTTTCTTTCCTTGTAATCTTTTAAAGTAGCTGTCATCAGAAGTTATTTAAGGTTTCTGAAAGTCTTGAAAGAAACAGGGTTTCTGTGTGAACAGACTGCAGGTTGGGACTCAAACTCGAGCCTGATCAGGCCTGTCTCTGAGACGGCACACATCCTCTGAACATGCTGACTCAGTCAGCCGAGTCACCCAACAGTCCTGATAGGGTTCATTTTTGTGACATTTGTCTAAGATGTATTGTCATGCTTCAGCTCCTGAATCTGTGAAAAGACTCAGATTTATCCTCCATAGTGTCTGTTGATGTGACTGATAAAGCACACCACCTGTGGTCCAGCTTTCTCCTACATTTAGGGGTTAGTTCATCCTGACTGACCCTCATGAGTTTTATTTACAATTAAAAAAACAGGAAAGTTTGTGTTTTGTCTGTATTTTTATTAATTGATTAATTTACGGATGGATGGGAACAAACTACTCAGCAATAAATCAACATTTGAAAAGTCTGTAATTATTTAAATGATACCACATTTGTCAAGAAAATGCATTTATGGGTTACTTTCATGACAAATTGCCAAATCTCTGCCAATACCAAACAGCTTATTCAGTCTGGAGCCTGATTGGGACCTGATTGTCAGCACTTGCGAGCAACCAGAGCCCCGTTTCAGAAAGCAGGATAAGTGGAAATCCTGAGTAAGTTCTGGGGTAACTCAGTGCAAATCCTGGGTTTTGGGTTTCAGAAAGCCAGAGAGCAGCTATCCTGAATTAACTTACCCCAGCAACTTACTCCATGAACCAACCCTGATCTGTAACAGGATTACTGGAACAAATCCTGAGTTTGTCTGACTTTTTAGCTGAGAGCTGCACGAGGACAGTGTCAGACAGGACACGCCCTGTCTGACACTTTTCTAAAGGAGCCTGTAGATGTTGGAGCTAATACTTTGCAGAAATTTATGTCGGGAGAGCGTGATAAGACCGCGATTAGAYGTCTTTCTGGATGAATCTGTTTGAGCTTTTTCAGATGTTTTTAATTGCTCAGGTTTCAATCTTGTACAGTTTGTAGATATTTCACAGGAAGCTTTAGAGACAGAAAAATGACCAAATTTCATTTACATTTCTACTCTCTAATGAAGTTATTATCAAAGGTTTAAATTTTTACAGAAGTATATATTTTTATTTTATTGTGTATATAGAATTTATTCATCTTTTAAAAATTAAATAAACTTCTGAAAGAAAAAAATAACAGAAGAAAGTTGAGCTCCAGAGGAGCTGGAGCCTCTTCAGCTGATCGTCCATCACAGCTCTTTTTGTGAAAAAACAGTCATTCTGATTCACAATGAAAAGTAAAGTAAACATATTAAATATTAGTAGAGAGATGGAGTAATACACATTTGTTTTTTTGGGGGGGACACAATAATTTTGTGTGTTGAAGCTAGTGAATTATGTAATTTGTTAGTTAAAGGTTGAACATAAGAGCTTATACCTGACCACACCTGATTTTACTTTGTTTTCATATTTAATCTTTATTTGCTGCCATGTCCGTTTAGTACCGGCTGGGTTCACCTACACACACACATAATGCACACACACACACTCACTTTTATCCACTTGAATAAAGAACAAAAGTAAAAATAAATATAAATTATAAAAGTTTAGCTACAGTTCTGACTTCAACCCCATGGATCACCTGTGGGATCAGCTTGGGTGTGCTGTTTGCAGCTGAGTGATCAACACAAACACATTGGCTGATTTGTGACAAATGCTGGTTGAAGAACAGGAGTCTCACAGCAGTGAGAGCAGTGTGTTAGGGAGGTTGTTGTGGCTGTGTATGGTTCTTCCACATGCTGCTGAGGCCCCAGTTTGTTAAATAAGTCCATTAATTGTCAATATGTCTTATTTTACTTCAGTTTTTATTCATCCAGTCCAGAGGATCGCAGAATAAGCTGTTTGGCATTGGGAGAGATTTGGCAAGATTTTCATGGGTTCATTCCACATAATCAGCCCAGCTGCTCAACTCACAAACACATTTTCCTCCCAAATAAAAAGGCTTTCCAGTAGTATGAATTGTACTGCCAAGATTTATTGCTACAACAAAGAACTGATTATTCAAGCAGAAATTTCTTTACGTTTTTTTAAGTTCATACCAACATATAGATTGACAAAACTTCTTAGTTTTTCAAAGACACAGTAAACTTTAAATCCTTTGGTTTAGTAATGTTTTTTTAGGATTAGTTTTCAAAACAAAATGTTTACTCTTTCCACGCCTCCTGAAATGATAATTTAATTTTTCACTAGAATGAGTTAGTATGTTACCCACAAAACCCACACGGATCATTTACGACCAAACAGCTGTTGCTGAATATTCCACAGTAATTACTGACCTAAGCAAAGAATTTCCATGCTAAAATATTTTATTTAGCTTTCCCTTTATCTGTAAGCTTTCTCACTCACACACCAAAGTTATTGTGCCACAAATAATTAAGATAAAACGCATGTTGATTGGACTATGTTGTTTTTAACATGTATTATGTAAATAAATATTCTTTTAGTTACTGGTGGAAACAACTCTTMGCTGAAACAGTGAAGAAAGAGTTAACTTTTTCCTGAATGTATCATTTCCTGCTCTGGTTTCCTGGCTGTTCTGTCTTTCACTTTCCTGGTGTTGGAGAGGTTGGACCGGCTCTCAGTCCAGCAGCTGATCTCATGCAGAGCTYGACCTTCTGCTGTCTCACACACTGACCCGAGCAGGAAAAACAAAAAAAGGACCAAAGGACTCTCACTGTACCAGCTGTTCAGTTGCATCTAGTTTGGCTACTTCATCACATATACAAAGGTTTCTCTTTTGTTTGTATTTGTTTAGAAAATGAGGAGCAATCTCGTCACTCTCCGTTTTTTTTCCCCATTCACATTGACTTGCTTCACAAAGAGAGTAATTGTGCTGCTGGTTTTCTTTTCTTGTTTGAGTTTCATCTCATTTGTCAAACATTTCTCTTGAAATTATTGAATTTTTTCTTTATTCCTTTTTATCCCTGTTTGAATGTGAATTTAACGGAGTTTGAAAAAATGTTTCTGTTGAGGTGGTAATGTGTTTTGGTTGAATTTGAGTTCTCTTTAAAACGTGTCACTTTTCAGATACAGTGGTAGTTTTTATTAATATATCGTGTTTCAGTGGTCGCTACTGACGGGGGTTTCAGCCAGGAAGTTTTAACACAAAAGGCCATTTTGTTCTCCAAGCCTTATGAGTTGATTTATTCTCGTGTCCACATCCTCTTTCTTTATGTGTCATTTCTTTTCTATGAGGCAAGGAAGTTCCTGTCAGCTGTGGTGTGTTCTGCTCCTGTAGATTTGTCTTTTTGTTTGCTGATTTTGGGCTTTGTACAGTTCACATCTTTTAAAGTGGGGTTGTGTTGTAAGGTCATGAATAACTAATACCTTACCTGTTGTGGATGGCTCTTTGATTGACCTCAGTTCGGAAAAACAAGGTTAATTTTGCCCGGATTGAAACGCTACAAACTAGCTTGAGCAGGGCCAAAAAATCCAGTCTAAAAATGTTACTGATTTATGCTAGTTTTGTCAGGTTTTACCATTGGGTTTTTTTAATAGCTATTTATTTAAAAACATTATTTGCTAGTGTATATAATGGCAGAAGATTTTAACTGTAGCACTTCCAGTAGAAACATAGTTTTATTTATGTTGTAATAATTTTATAATGTGAAGTAAAAGGTGGTAAACTGTTATGAATTATTTTGCGAATGTAGAGACTAGCCATTAACCCATCAGTCCAGTCATAAACTCCTCCAAACTGAAGTCAGTTGAAGATTTATGTGCAACATGTAAGATATTTATGTAGATATGTTTCATTATTTGACCTTCACACAAAATGCCTCTTCAGAAAATCAGAAGTGACCCTTTAAATGAGCAGTGAACAGAACCAACCTGTTTTTGTTTTAGGAAAGGTGAAGTTGTCATGAGTAAAATGTAGCTGAATTGTTTGCTCAGTCCTGCTAGCTGCTGTGAACCAACCTTTCTGAGTCCACGTGTCTGCTGGAGCAGCTTTGAACAGCTGCTYGCTTCATCTACTCATGAAGCCAAGTTTAGATTCAGGCATTTCCTTCATTCCGTCACCCAGAGCCGATGTCCTGAAACTGTCTCTCTCTAGAGCGGTGGATGCTCCTTTGCTAAAAGCTTTAGCTCGTATGGAATAAAGGTATTAGTTCTGACTATATGTTTTTTTTTCTTTTCCTAACTAGTCCTTTGAAAGTGGAACAACCTCCCTGCGCTCAGGTAACCTGAGTGCTCTGAAGAAGCGTTGGGAACAAGCTGGAACCAAAGATCAGGTGAAAACGTCCTCAGTTCCACCTGCAGGCCACTCCATCTCCAGCATCCGCCGCAGACATTCAGCCCTGATCAGGCCCGCTGCGATCCAAGAAGAGTCCCCTCCTCTGGTATCGAGCCCCACCCCGCTGACCGATCAGGACCGTCAGCGCACAGCCAGCCGAGTCCAGCAGCCACCTGCAGCTCCAGTGGGCAAAGAGCAGAGAGGGATGGATCGGGACGAGATGACGCGCAGGAAAGCTCCTGAGAAGGATGAGGAGGTTCCCACCAGCCCGTGTGCCATTTATGAAAAACCCAGAGTGCCACTGAACAATCTGAAGATGAAGTTTGAGAGGAGAGAAGACATCACGAGCAAGGTAAATGTCTTCAGTCGTCCTGTGGCTAGGAACATGGGACACATGGACAAGAAGTTATTTCAGTGATACACAGTGTCTTGTAAAAACTCTAAATCTTGTCTTTTAATCTACTTTGATGACTACGTTTCTCATGTGTTAATGAAACAGTTCAGAATTTTAGCAGAGTTTTATATAGTTAATATCTTACCTGGTGTWGATGGTCCTGATCACCCTCACTTTGGAGAAAAATAAATACTTTAACAGATGTTTAATCAAAACAGGGCCAAAGCTATCTGTCTCTGCATGAATATGAGCTTCGTATTTCAAATATTTTCACATCTTCAGTTTAAAATATATTCTTCTTTTCATTCTTTTTTCCCCACCTGACTTTTAGTCATATAAATATTCCTCCACTCCTCACACATTTTCCATATTTTTTGCTCCATTCTTTTCCCTCTGCCCAAAACAACAAGTACTCTCTCTTCATCTTCTGTAGCAGAGGAATGTAGGGACATTCCTGACCAAGGCCCGTCTCATTCTTCACAAGATCCTTTCTGAGACACTTCTGTCTTTATCTCACTCTGGTCTGTGTGACCCAGACCTGGAATCCAGGGATTTTCATTGTTTGTGTTTATTGCAGTAATTAATAGAAATGTGGACAATCTAATCTGGAGGAACACAATTGTTTGTATTATTTTTATTATCTTGCACGCACTCACTTTTACTCTTTTGCTATGTTCTGTTTCTCCACTTTTAAAAGTTGGCCTCTTTTTTTCACCAGTATATTTATTACCTGAAKAAAACATTTAAATAGTTTTTAAGCTGAACTGAGAACTTTTCTTGTTTGTGCTGCTGACACTGAGACTGCAGTGTGAATTTTATAAAAGTTGTTCCAAGAGCTTATTGCAACACAAAACCCAAGATCTTTGTGTGATCAGAACAGTTTTTTGTTGTTGTTACATGAAGAGTCAGGTTCTGACACAAAMCTCTAACACACAGCTGACTTATACACATTGATGACTTTTAAAAACTTATGTAATAATATTTTAGTCAGTTTCAGATGAATTTTGTTATTAAACAAGTGTAGTTCTGCTCATTAGCTGTCATAATAATGCAGAAGGTTTGTCTCACATACTGAAAAAAAGTCAGCAGGTCATAACACCTGCTGTAACACCTTTTTTCCTCCTGCAGGGCGGCAGGTCAACAATTCGAAGCACTTCATCTGAGGACCTGGAGGATCCCAAAAGTAAGCCAAGATATGTGTGTATGTGTGTTTAATGCATAACAACTACAGTTAAAGCATTTCACTAAGATCTGCTTTGTGGTTCAGGTCCGTTAGACGGACCACATGAGTCTTCATCCCTGAGGGAGAAGATGGCCAAGTACCAGACTGCTAAACTGGACACCGCTCATTCTGTGAGTTCAGGGGAAGAAAGACTTTAGATATTTGTAAAAACACACAAATATTGCCCTTCTGTTGTTTAAAAACCTTAAAGTTTGCACAACAGATGAACTGTTTTTTCTGCTAAAGTTTCACTTTGTTGCTTTTTTTTCTGGGTCGGGTCCCAAAACAGTCTGCACAGGTCCATGAGAAGGACACCTCTACCCCTGAGTGCAACGGTAACAYCTTTTACTTTAACATGAACTGTATCCAGTTCGGAACTCAATGTTTAATTTTTCATTGTCTAATTTCAGGAAAGAGTGCTGAGCCACCTAAAGCAACCAGGGTGAGACATTAATGCAGAAAGTAGAGCCGTATGAGTCATGACTTTTCCATCATTGTTCTGTATTAATACGTTTGCTTTTTTATTTTCAAGTTTCGCCCACCAGTGGGAGAGAAATGCATTGCTTGCCAGAAGACGGTGTACCCACTGGAGAGACTGGTGGTTCATGATCATGTTTATCACAAGAAGTGCTTCTGCTGTTCTCACTGTAACTCAAAGCTGAGGTAAGAAGCTGCTTTGAATGATTTCCTCCACTTTTACTTGATCATATTTGTAGAGTTTTGTGTTTGTTTATTCTTGCTTTCTGCTTCTAGTCTTGGGAACTATGCTTCTCTCCATAACAACATCTACTGCAAGGCCCATTATAACCAGCTGTTCAAAGCCAAAGGGAACTACGACGAAGGTTTCGGCCACCGTCCTCACAAAGAGCTGTGGGAGCCGCGAGCTGACGGGGAGGAAAATGAGGAGGCGTTGACACCCAAAGAGCAACCAGAAACGGTGAAACGTCCAGCTGAAAGCCCCTCAGATGTGCAGCCCGCTTCAAATGGTGAAGCCTCCCCACCGGTGAAGGTTACAGACCTCACCGCCTTGCTGGAGAACCGCAAGCAGAAGAACGACCCCTCTGGAGAGAAACATCGGCCTGCTGCTGAGGCGCACAGGCTGAGGGTGGCCTGGCCTCCTCCCGCCGGAGAGGCCCACGCTGCAGGACCGCTGAGTCCAGTCGCAGAGGGGCTTCCTTCAAGCCGGATCAGGATAGGCAAGTGGCCCCCCGAGGATGACGTGCAGCCATCCTACCAGAGCACGGAGCGGGCGGAGCTGAAGAGCCTGAGGAGGAGCACCTCTCTGAAGGAGCGCAGCCGGCCATTTACACTCGCAGCTAAACCTGCCTCCAAAACCACCACCGCCACCGCTCCAGCACCCAGGGAGCTCCGCCGTCCTCTCAAATCACTGCTGGAATGGAAAAAATCTTTTGAGGAAAAACAGGCATCCGAAGACAGATCCAGTGAGGTTCAGCAGGAGAAAGAAGAGCTGAAGAAGCCTCAAACACCAACAGCAGCAGCACCAAATGGAAAGATGACGAAGAGTCTGCCTGAGCAGCAGGAGGGAAGATGTGAACAAACACACAAAAGAGAAGCGACACCAGAGGAGGAAAAACCAGAGAGCCTTTCTTCTGACACTCCTCCATCTCCCCCTCTGCAGCCAAAAGAGAACCGGACCCCCCAGGATGTGGGCTTCTGGGAGGAGGACAAAGAAGAAAATGATGCTGAGGATCTGAGTGCCGAGGATATAATCAAGAGGAATCGCTATTATGATGAAGATGATGAAGACGAGGACTCGATAGTTTAGGAGTTCCCAACAGTCCTACTTTCACAATCATACACATCCTGTTTTATTCTACAGCTCAGCTCATAGGTGCATCATTAAGCTTTACTTAATTTTATACATACAAAACTTATTAGGTGTCTTTGAACACATTTTACTGGTTTTACATACATTTTAATTAATTATATTTTAAAAAACACCTTGGAATAAATAGTTATATTTAAAGATGGACCTCTTCGATTGAATCATTGGAGGTTTATTTTCTGAAGGAGAAAAGACAGTTAAATGAATAAGTTTTAGATTTTAGTTGAGCTCCCAACACTTTGCTCCAAGTCCTGTCCTTTCTCAGGGATGAAACAGTCATTTGTGTTGTTGCCCTCTGATGATCACGTCTTTGTTTTGGGTTTTCTTCCAGGGGAACAGAACCAATGCTGCTTACTCTCAGCTTTCTGATTTAACAAGTTTTTTTTTWAATTGGTTTAGAATCGTGTTTTCTTTCTGGTTCTGTGCTGAAGTGACTCAGCTTTCAGTTTGTTTGGACTGAACAGGTCTGTTTCTTTGTCAAATACTTTTGTACTTGTGTATTCYAACATTTTCTGTAAATTCATCTCTAATAATCTGAAAGGTTTCCACAAAAACTCAGCTTTGATTTTGTCAATGGGCCTTCCAAGTCTAATATTATATTAACATTGTAATTCATATTGTAAGTTAAATGATTTTTATGTGTTTTATGTTATGGAAAATGACTTTGCTTGACAATTGGTTATTAAAACTTTGGCTTTCACACTCTTGTTTAGATTGAAATATATCACAACATGCATCCAAAGTTCAAGTTCTACTGTAAGGATTATATTTAAATGTAAAAAAAAACACTTGTAATAAACATTATTGGGCCCAACAGCACATATATGGTCCAAAAAACTGACAAGTCAATTCTAATATTTTTTAACCAATTAAAGCTTTTCTACTTCCGTAAATTCTAAACTCTAACAAACCAGACAAGTGCTTGACTTAACATTTTGTTCTTTTATTACAAAACTAAAAAGGAAAGTAAATACAGTAGAGAAGTAAAGTTTAAATATTAATTTATTAACATTTTTGGCATAATTGCTTTAATTGTACAAATTCTAGTCAAGCTGAAATAAAAAAAAAAATACATGTGAGTGCAGTACAAACAAGATGAAGAAAGTTCACAAAAGATCATTCCTTGTTTACATGAAGTATCACCAAAACTGAACAATAAGAAAAGAAAAAGGAGTTAAATAAACAGTCCAGCCTAACGTGACTGAACACCAAGAGGACTCTCAGCACACAAATTAGCAGCAACTCCTAAACGAACCAGACAATAAAACATGCGATGAACAGGGCAAACTTATCACTGATGACGTATTAAATATTCCTGAAGGGTCCGGAGTCCAACATGCAATGGTTCTTTGGTTCTTAGACTGACCTTTAAGATCTGCAGGAACCAACGTCTGCTTTTATATCTAATTATTAGAAAAAAAAAAGACTAAATGTTTTGCAGATGATTTGCTCATTCTGTCCTATGTTTACACGCAGACGTTCTATTTTTAAATTAGAGCCACTTCAATATTTATGTGTAAAATTGTAACCAAAAAGTACCAATAAGTGATAGAAATAAGTGTTATGTAGCGACTAATATCGCATTTTTTAGGGATTACATGTAAATAAAATACAGGGGGCAATGTATGCACACAGACAAAGAACACACAAATGGCTCAAAATCTTTAGCATTCTTGTGAATACATGATATGCAAGTAAAATTTGGTTTAAAAACACAAGATTGTCAGCAGTTTTAAAGTTGAAAATAGTGGCAATTAAAAAGATAACAGCATAATCTGTAAAACTATTTTGGCAATCAAGTTGAATTGAAAACAAAATTAAACAAGGGCAAAACTCCAAAAACATCCCAACTGCTAACATAAAAACTTAAATTAAATTTGGGTTTTAAATGTACCTGAGAGCAGCACGTCAGCTTTACAGTATGGCTTCTTTTTTGACACGCAGACTTTCAATTTCAAACTAAAAAGAAAATATTACAGCGTCACCATGTTTAGCCCTTGATTCTTGCCCTGATAATTAAAAACTGAGCATTTTTCTCACAATTAGCATCCATATTTTTAAATTCTTAAAAACATTCTAGTTTCTCAAAACGCTCTGTGGTTGGCTTTTTTTTAATATAAACAAAAATTAGGCCTCTTTTTCTTTCTATACCTTGCTTATATGTATGAAAAGAAAGAAAGTGTGATGTTATACGGAGTGACAAACTGTAAGAAACAAAAAAAGTGTAAAAACAAAAAAGGGCCCACCACCGTCACATCCTTCAACAGCTTGAATCTTTCTGAGAAGAGAAGTTTCTTCTCACATGCTGATTAAAAGCATCTCAAACCGAGATTTCAATTTGAAAAGGCTGAGGAATCTCACTAACCGTTGGGTCAAAGCTTCTGTTTGTTTGCACTTTTATGTAGTTTTAATCTCAGATTAAAAAAAAGGCCCAAAAGACAGTCACACACGGTGTTGTCCCCACATCTGTCTAATCCCACCTGTGTGCTCATAGGTGCAAAAAGTTTTTAAAATGACTAAACTGTTCAAAAACAAACAAAAAAACACAAGTATAACTGCACTGTGTTTAGCTTAAGGGAATAAGTTGTTCCTAAATCTGAGATCTGATTTCCAATTCGCATCTCATCGCCTGGATTTATTCTTAGAATCTTAAGTGATTAAAAACTGTGTTCTGTTGATAAATGGGTTTAAAGTATCCTGATTTAAAGGTCTTCACAGCATCTAAATAAAACAGATTTCTGCGTTTGAAAATGCTTTTGATGACTTCGCTTTTTTGTTGAAACTTAGTTCCTCAGAATAAAGTCCAGATGGATTCTCCACGTCAGACCACCAGCCCAAAGCTGAGTCCCACAGACTCTGCTGGTTTATTGAGACTGAGCGCTCTGACCACTGAGTGTCAGTAATGCTCCACCAGTCGAGGCTCAGAAGGCAGAAAGCTGAGATCTCTTATTGCTGATACTGAACAGAATCCATGTGTTAACTAAGATCTGCTCTATCTTAGCATTTATTCCTCAGGTGAGACCTTTTTGTTGGCATTTTAATAAACATCCTGCTGTGATTTATATGCCAAAGTAATATTTAACATTCAAAAGTCTCTTTTTTTCTTTTTTTAAACAGTAAATATATTCATAACAAAGCATGTTTTTTTGGCACAAATAACATTTTGATCACTCTTCATAACACGTTTTGCCAGCATGTTTTAGTGATTTGTCTACAATGAAGGAGCCGACTCCCAGCCCCGTATTAAAGTGACGTTTTGGAGCTTTTTGATGTGAGGGTATCATTCACTGTCCCATTCCCTTAGCTTCATCGTTCGTCCTTTTCTGATTTTACCAGTCAGCCGCTGAGGGGTTGCAGGTCCACCCGGACCTTCTCCCCGGTACTCATCATACCGATGGTGGGATAGAAACCTGCTGCTGGTAAGGCCACTTCTTTTCTTCCCACCACCTTTCCATTTCGAGTGAAAAACACCTGTTCCAACACAAGAAAAGAAAAAAAGGAAGCGTGAGAATATGAATATGAAATCTGACAGATGACACAAAACCTTCCATGGGAATTAACGGGAATATACAGGAATAAATCTGGGATTTAAATTACTGAAGTTTGGCTCCTAACAGAGATTCTGAATATAATTTTAGCATAATCTTAACTAAAACATGCAGATTTCATTTCTGTACTAATAAATAAAAGATAAAACAGAGTAAAAAAATTGATGGACTGTGTCACCTGGACATATAGAGACAAATAGAAATGATAATAAAGGTTTAGTACAGCGTTGTAGTTTTGTGGTAAAAATGAAGTTTCCTGAAAAACATTTTTAATGTAGATAAAGTAACAAGACAAAAAGAATGATCATAACAAAAGAAATTATCTTGTTCAGTTGTGTTAATGGAATTTGACAGTTTCCCTACATAATTTAGACATTTTAATACATTTTTTGGTGATATGTAAATTAATGATTTTTGTTTCAGTCATTTTATGAAAGAAAAATGAATTTAGAAAAAAATATTAAAGCAACAAACAAAAAGAACTATAAAACTGTTTACAATCTAGTAACAGCTAATATAAGGTGTGATTGTGACATAATAATGTCATCAGTGAAACAAATGAGATCATTTATTACTTTTATGAACTTTGGATCAAACACATTAATCCCTCACATTCACAGCCTATGATCCAACTACGTTTTTATTTTATTATTTAACTATAAAGAAATTTGGTTAAATTACTCCCAATTTCCAGTTTATTCCCACAAATTCCCAGCTTCACTTCACATAAAACGTTTGCTGAATTTTACTTCAAGTTTTTCCGCCCCGTTGCTCTAACAGACCAAATTAAATAATAATCTGGTCAGAATTAAACAATTTCTCTACACTGATATAGCTCAAGTAGCTCTCTGAGTCACAACTTTTTATATTCCTACACTGGGGCTGCATCTCACCATGACCTTCCTCCCCTCCACATCTTCTCCTTCTTCTTCTTCCTCCTCATCCTCATCATTGTTTGCATACAAATCATTCTGGACCTCGACAGGCTTGGGAACCACGTCCAGGTCCCAGTCGTCTCCGTCATCTGAAAGAACCCAGGAAAAGAAAAGAGTCAGAGGACTTACAATGTGTGTTGAAAAGTGGGAAACAACATGGAGACGTTTATCTGCACCGTCGAGGTTGAAGTCACGTGGAAACATGATCCCGCAGCCCATGACGTCTCCCGCGAAGCAACGAGGCCCAAAAGGGTCCCCGACCCCACTTCCATGGAACAACTTCCCATCGTCTGCAGAACACACAGAGCCAGGGTTAGACCTTTGGACTGTTTTTACCATTTCAATGGTCATGAGCATAGTGAGATTCCAAGCTATTAGTTCTCAATTAATATTGTTTTAGTCACATTTCTTTTCTCAGAGACTCAACTACAGAAATTATTCCACACCCAGAGTTATTAACAACAGTCTGAGCAAACAGGAATCAATCAGAGACAGGAAAGACGTGAACCAAGTGCTGCCTCGATGAAAAACAACAATACCATGCTGGTCATACTGAACTATTCAGCCGTGGGGCCAGTTTTCACAAGTCGTCTTGGTTATGTTTACATCCCTCTCGTTGCTAACCAGCCAACTGTACGTGATGTCATCTGCTTTGTCGCCAAAACACTCCTGCTTCAGTATCCAAGTAGTTTCAAGTACAGAGAACTGTTAAACAGCCTCTATACAGAAACTGTTCTGAAGTCTTAAATCTGCAAATAATGACCAGACTGATCAAACACTATTTACCTGCATGATAAGCTATGGATCCTCTGCTCCAACCAGGATGTCTGTTTTTTGGGTAGTCCTGAAAATCAAAGGAGAAATTAGTTGATAAACAAACATCACTCATCCAATAGTGTCTTGGTGTGCATGCAGACCAGAGATGGGTATGTAAATTAACCAGCTGGCAACCAGAGGATGATGGCTATACAACTAGAGTGATAGTGTTATCAAACAGCTGCCAGTCAATCAAAACAGTGAGTGAGGGTCAGCAGAGACAGAGGATGCCTCGTAGACTCAGAGGACAGCATTAGCAGCACTCAACAGAATTTGATACGAGTCTTTGTGTCATTAATGCTTCACATTGACCAAGACGGACAAAATCACTGGAGGATTGTTGCACCAATCATTACAAAACGCCATGACATCTGTAACCGCCAACCGGGCTCAAGCATCGGACTCTTTACAACAACCTGGACCACGTGTCAACGACTGACAACAAGGTAAAGAAATTTGTGTTTGGTAGATTACGTGTTTGTTGTAACGATGCTTCTTGGCAATAAATTTTATATCATTAGAAAGCCTGTTCTCTTTTTAAATGGTGCCAAATTTGTAAGGACCATGCATTTGTGGGACGAACAGTAGAGCTGGGTATGTGGGTTAAGCAAATGAAATATTTCCCAAATCTTCTCAGCCACACAGCTTATTTTGCTGTTGACACTTGTTTTGAGGTTCTGGTACAGCCAGGTGCTGCCAATAAAGTGCCTGGTATTAGATTTATTGCGAAGAAGCATTGTTACAACAAAGAAATAATCTACCAAACACAAATGTCATTACTTTTTGTACAAAGTATAGTTATGTCAAATAAAGAGAACCCATTTTATCAACATTATGGTGCTTCCACAGTATTGCAGACTCTGTACCGGACTGTTGTGTAAAGAGGGAGATGAACTATTAGGCATAACTCTGTTTACAAATTAGTTTACGTTCCTACCCTCACCTTTGGCCACAAACTCTAGATAGTGACCGAAAGAATAAAATCGCAGATACAGGCAGTCAAAAGGAGTTTTCTCCACACTCTAGAGCTACTTTAGAGTGTCTCCCTTAGAGACAGGGTTAGAAATTCAGTTATCCAGGAAAGAGCTGCAGCTCCTCCACATCAAGAGGAGCAAGCTGAGGTGGTTTGGGCATCTGGTAAGGATGCCTCCTGGACTTCTCCTTAGGTAGGTGCTTCAGGCATGTCTGACAGAGAGGAGACCCTGAGGAAGACCCGGGACATGCTGGAGAGACTGTAGCTGTGTTTCCATCAAGGTTTTTTTAATGCACATTTTGAAGTATCGCATCAGAAAAGGTGAACGGAAACGGCTTGATTCAAACAAACTTCCTTTAATTTGCATAAAAGTTGATACGTTCGCTTGAGGTGGTTTTTGGGTTTTTCGAAAAAGAGTTAATGCGCAAAAGGAGAGATGGAAACACATTTGCCGAATCAGTTCTGAAGTAGTGAACATTTACCTCATATGGTTGATCATCTGTTCTCGCTGACTGTCTGAAACCGGTACAGGTACCAAAGCGACTGCAGCCGCGACTGCAGCTGGACCCTTCTCCCGCTGTCAGCGTCTTCTCAGTTATTCCAGTAACATGAAGAAAATTGCATTTCTTTCTCTACGTCTCCAGACAGCATGTAAAAAATCGCCAAAACTAGTTGATAACAGAATAATTACAACTTTCCCGATGGTAACAACACGTTCCTGATAACTTCTCTCCATGGTCCTGAGATGTGTCCTTGTAAGTTTGTGACTTTTACTTCCTGTTTACCACACACATGCGTCTGACGTAATTGATGCGCTTCAAGCTAGTCGATGGAAACACATCTGATTCGCATTTCTTTGTTTTATCCTTTTTGCAAAATTTTGAAAATTTTGAAAATTTCGTATTAAAATAGGATGGAAACACGACTTGTGACTATGTCGCTGGAAGAGGTGGCTGGGGAAAGGTCTAGGCCTTCCTGCTCAAGCTGCTGTCACTGTGACCCAACTCTGGATGGATGGATGAATGGATGAATGGATGGATGGTATCATGATGTTATGATACAGGGGGTGTGTTCAGGTCACTAACAGTAATTCAGGAGAACCTGATGACACAGTCTACATCAGTGGCATCCTGTGTCTGTGTCTTACCAACCCCTTTAACAACACCTGTCCACATGCAGCACCTGTGTCTACAGACTGCCTGAGTCATGCTGAGGTCCTGCAGCAGTCAGATAATCCTCCAACTCTTCCCATCAGATGACCCACGTGACCTTTTAACATGTGAAGTTTCATTTCAGTTCCACCATACTGCCCAGGTGCTTACCTTCTGTTGTCAGTGATTATAGCTACATAAACCCAAAGATAAAAGATGTCTCATGAGTCCTGAAACTACAGAGCCCGCGAGGGGATGGGGGGGATTTTTTTTCTTTTGCATTCCCACGCAAAAGTTTGTTTTGTGTATGAACTGAATTAAATCAGACTTTTATTTTGAAATATCCGGTTACCAAAACAGGATGCATCGCCACAAGTTCGTGAAATTGACATTGATGTTGCGTGGCTGCACTGTGTTAAAATATCGGCATATGACATACTTCTATGCGTAGCTGTGTAATATATTCATTCTGAAGCTGAATTAAAGCAGTAGGCTAACTCATGAACATGTGAATTTCTTAATAAACAGGCAGGCGCAACAGTGATAAACAACTTTTTGCGAGGGAACACAAAAGAAAAACATTCTCCCATGTCCCCTCACGGGCTCCGTATGAAACAAAGAAACGCTCTTAAAATTTTTTTACATGTCAAAAGATGAATCTGGTTTGTTATCAGATGCCGTAATATTTCACATAAAATATAATAACCTTGTACACTTCACAACTACAGATGGTAACAGTGACCACTTAAAGGAAAATGAAACTTTAAGAAAGTAAAAGTGTGAATTACCACCTGGGAGTTAAAGATAAACAGCGTGTGGTTTTCAGAGAAGAGAAACAAAGAAGCTCTTTTGTTGAACTGAAGGGAAAAGGAATGCACTGTAAACAACTGCTCATCTATTTARTTTAAACAACCACTGAGCAACAATTTAAAGAGTTTAAAAGGTGACATCGTTTTGATATTTGTAGCGGGAGGTAACGCTTCCCCTCAGCAGACGGATGTGCCTTGCAGGAGAACGAGGAGGGATGGAACGAAATGTTTGGAATGACCACCTGATGGATTTATAATGCTCCATCAAACCGCAGACACGGGAAGGAAAAACAATTCCTGGAAGATTAAAAAAAAGGAGGGAAAATGACAGAGGCCTATTCTCTGCACTGTCTGACCCCCGGGGGGCACGACATGCCCGCACAAAGTAACTAACAGAGGAGACGGGGCCATCTTAGTGTCAAGGGCATCTGCAGCGATAATTCATCATCTCCCAGTCTGCGAGCGCCGGCCCAGCTGGCACAGCTTCGGTGCGGCTCATGCTCAATCAATTAGAGCCCAATAAGCAGAGGAACAGCGAGCAGGAACATGTAACAGGAGAACAAGAGTATCAGAGCCACACTTCACTTCATATCTGTCATCCCTCTGACACCATAACTGCACCCTCAGCAATTACTGCAGGCTTTTATTTACATTAAACAGGATGTGCTCAGTGTTCGTGATGATTTCATATGAGGCCACTTAGGGCAAACTTTCAGCAAGTCTTAATTCTAAAACAAATATCATCACCTCCCATCTTCACGTGTGAATAAACACTAAATAATTAGTACAAATTAATTCAGATGTTATATTAACCTGTCAGTAGACTATGTGGGTTTTGTTTTGCTTTCTTTGCGCCTACATTTTTGTTCAGAACATCCATATTTCCAAAAGAGATAAGAAATATCAGCGGGTCAACGAGAACAATCAGATGTTGTCATCCTAATTCATCCGTGACAGTTTTCAATTTAACGCGGAGTTTCCTGAATTATGTAGCAAATTAACATGTAAACGGAACAACCTGCTTCGGATGGAAAACTGGACATGGGTGTAAAATGAGACAATATTTATTCAGTTGTTAGCTTTTTTCTCTTTTGGTCATTCATCACTTTATGCTGGAAACAGTGAGAGCAGCGGTGCTTTATGAGTGGAGGGGGGAGACAGATGACGAGGCGTTTTGAAGAGGAAAGAGAAGCGTTCTCTAAGCGCTGACTGTGTATAGTAAATTACGCCCTGCATCAGTGCCGCTGATATGTGATCATTATTGTGTTGAGTAGACGGAGGAGGCGCTCACCCTGCGTGCCAGCCCCAGGGCGATGTAACACTTCTCTCCAGCATCTGTGATCTCCAGCTCATAATAGTGGAAGCGTGTGTTTAGAGGGCGGCGAGCCTGAGCCAAGCCCACGTCTACGATGCTCTTCCCTTTCCCTACGTACTCCAGCAGCTGTGAACAGATGGGAGACGGGGAGTCAGTGACACGATAAGGAATGCATGTGAAAAAACTTTCCATTAAAAAGACGTTTCAGGCTGAGATCCTTTCACACATTTTTACTGTCATCAGTGAACTTTCTTCATGACACTAAAAAATTCCATTAAAAGTCAAAGAAATTTGGAAAGTGCCTGTGTGTTTAAGTCTGGTAGTCAAGCCATCGGACAGATTTTAGAAACTCTCAGAAAATAGGAGCTGGATGTTTGTTTGAAGTAAACCTGATTAAAGATGGTGGACACAGCTGATCAACCTCAGTGAATACAGGAATCAGTTCCACAGATACTGACCTAYTGAAGTGACTGAAACTGATCACCAACATGTACTCTAACAAATTATGCAAAAGCTGTTTAAAACGTGGGTATTTACGATGATGACTTCAACAAAATACTAGTTTCCATGCTTTTGAAAAAGCTAAATTTAGGAAGCATTTCAAAGACAAACTAACTCCATTTGTTTTGGAAATAAAAAGATGAAGTGAATAATTTAAAGGACGAAAGCTGGACTTCATTTCCTTGGTTCCTTTTGTTCTAACCAATATGAGGCATTTACTTTTCTTTTATTATTTAATATACCTCAGAGTTGTAAAGTAATGATGTACAAATACTTCATTACTTTACTTAAGCAGAAATTTTTGTTACTTATACTTTTTTGGAGCAATTATTTTTCTGCCAACTTTTTACCTCTACTCCTTACATTTTCACACAATTATCAGTATAAACATTTTAAAAATGTAAAAAGTATTTTATTTCTCTTTCACTTCAGCTTGTCATCAATCAGAAAAAAATAAATATAATAATAAATAAACTATCCAGATATATGGTGCCTCCTGGACAGATTGAATTAAACTGTGTTGGATGAAAAGTATAAATATATACCATATACTCTGAAACCCTGTTGGTTTGTACGATCCATCACAGCTTCATGACACAAATCACATCACACTCCAGCAGGATATATCAGACACATGTAGCAGATATACAGTATGTACGCAGCTGAAACAGGAAAACTAGTGAATCACAATTTTTTTCAACATTAATGTTTAATATTATAGTCATTATTGCCTTTAGAGAAATGTTTTTGGGGAGGTGTGACACGGCCTAAGCTTTTATCCTTAATGGCTTTTCCCCCTCCATTATTTTTACTTTTATATTTTAAGTAGTTTTAAAACCAGTACACTTTTACAGTACGTGAGTAAAAAGCTTAATACTTCTACTTCCAAAAACGTATTTTTAAATCTATACTTCTTGACACCTATGAATGTAGAAAAACTGTTTTAGTCTAGTAACTGTTTGGTAGACTTCAGTGTGTCACCAGGATGATGCAGAACTGCTGAAAGAGTTTATTCAGATGTCTGAAATGACTCTGTATTTCACTGTTACTAAAACATGCCTGACTTTGAAACAACACGCCTTTAAGATGATAAGATAGCTTATGCCTTTAAAATTATGATAAACAAAAAAAGCTTTGTATTTTTATAATCAAGGAAAGTAAACTGTAATCGTTACATTTTTTCCCTTGCAGACGATGTTAAACATTGCTTTGTATGAAGCCTGCTGAAGTATCCTGAGGCAGATTGGAAACGTTTATATGTGTGAACTCTCAAATTAGACGGACTGACTCAATGTTTAATGATAAAGACAAACAGCTGAATCAGAAGCATTAAATATAAACTTTTTTCTTATCAATTCTGTGTCTATATCCCTCAGAAGAATCATATTTTACTAAAAGAATCAGGATTTGGATGGGCTTTCCCTCATGAGTTAGTGTTTTCCATTCACTGATGAAAAGCAGCCTAAAGAGAAGAAATAAATTTCACTTGTTTTCACACCACAGTTTTTATTGCCTCACTTTCAGCCTTCAGCTGCAGCTGATGTTGACTGAAGTGACTCACCTGAGGAGATTTATTGAATTTTTCACAGCTCCATCTGGACTGTAAAGCTGCTCAAGGACTCACCGTGCCCGTCACCTTGACGTCATAGAGACGGGCCCAGTCCTCTTCGTGACTATCAACTATCATCTGCGCATCATCATCATCTGTTCCCCAATCGGCGTTCAGGTCCAGGAGCACTTCTTCCCCCAACGAGTGCATCCCGACTGCAGGGTACAGAGCATCAGGAGACGCCGGGATGTCAACACTGCCGATCTGAGCAAACATTCAGACCAAGTATTGTTTAAGTAAACAGTTGGGGGGGAGATCAATGAGCTGCATGAGAATGAAACACGGTGTTATTTGGGTTACTTACTTCATCGCCATTCTTGGTAAAAAACACAGTTATCTGTCCATCGTCAGAGTCCAACGATATTCCACAACCGATTCTGTCGCCTCGGCAGCATTTTGCACCAAACTGCTGCCCGACTGTGTTGCCATTATAGAGCCTGTAGRGAGGGAAGCAGGACTTACTGATGGCAGGTATGGTTTATCATTTAATACAGTATATACAACATTAAACAAAAACAGACAAAATGCATTGAGAAAAAGCAGCAAGAAAAGAACAAAAAAGACAATACATAATCACATTGTAAAAAAGGTTTCTTCAATAAAACAAAAGTAAGAAATCATGAAGCACTCAACGTCAAAGGAGTTTCAGCTGCTAAACAATAAACTGGAATGTATTAAAAGTCAGATCCAATCATGTGCTCCATCTTTTACATCCCCTGCTTTTCAACTTGCCAAGGTCAAAGCTTTAAAAGGGAAATATAAAAGAAAAACGATTCAAGACTTCAGTGCAATAAGAATAGTTTAATCAGTTAAAGGGGCAATATCATGTAAAATCAACTTTTTTGAGTTTTATATCATGTTATAATGTTATACTCTCATACAAAACAAGCCCAAAGCCTTGCTTTGACTCATTCGTGCATGTTTGAGAAATCCTGCAGCATTTTTAGGAAGCCATGCTGAGGAGCAAAACGACAGGTGGGAACCAGAAATGCCTTTTGGTACCACAAACACCCCTGGCACGTGTCTCCAAGSTGAGCTTCCTCATCACGGAGCACACCTCCCCACCCCACACACCCCGCCCATGACTCCTGCAGGCTCTTGGCAGTAACAAATCAAAGGAGTGAAAATGAAAGTGAAACTTAAACTGTCTGCTGCTCTTAACGCTACTTCTCACTCAGTGAAGTTCTTTTCAGATTAAAAACACCTTTGAGGAAATGTATTTTCAGATGCTAAGTAAGCTGCATCATAGTGCATGCGCGACCCCCTGCACTGAAATGGACGGGACAGAAGCGGAATGTGGTTCTTAAAGCGACAGAGGCCAATTTCAAGGCGTTTAGAAGAGGAAGTGATGAAAAGACGAAGTTTATTTTCTATTTAAACATAAAAACAGCATTTTAATAACAGCTAAAGGTGACATAGATACTTTATTATGGTATAGCATTTAAATATATGCCTGAGAAACACATGAAACACATAATATTGCCCCTTTAGATGTGGATTCTCTATGACTGGGCAAGCAGTTTGAGTTTCATGAGTTATATTGATACCTTTCAACTCATCGTATGGAGACTTTTTATAGGAAGTTCATTTCAATCCAGGACAAAAAAAAAAAAAACATCCACACGTGGCAGTGAAACTTTCTGAATTAATTTATCGTTTCACTTCAGGTCTTTGAGGTGTCAGATCAGTATGTACTGAACCAGCAGCTAAACTTCATGTTTTGAAAACAGTTCCTGAAAGTATTGCACTCACATTGATTGACTAGGCTTTTCATGAAAGCAGTAACAATTCATGAGAGCCAAACACAATTATGTTAAGCTAAGTTCAAACAATGCATTTACCATAACTAACTAGTACTTTATTATTGCATAACTGGAATTTCCCCTCTTCTGTTGTCAAAAACCAAAACCAAACAAGGAGATGTAAAAACGCATTCAAAAATAAGCATTGTAAAAAATTATCTCTTAAGTGAAAATGAACAGAAGGATATCAGACCAGCACACCCTGACAAGTCAGACAAATGGTCATCTGTTGCAGCCAAAAAGAAGGGTTTKTTTGCCAGTTTGCGCCAAATCTTAAAGTGAAGATTTTCATACCGACTTGAAAAAACTAAAATTAAAGCTTATATTTTAAACATAACCTCCTTGGCAGAGGTTGATCTGTGAGACAAATCAAAAGCATGACTAAATTCAAGAACGTGAGAAAAGCGTTCATTTGCTACGACTCCACATTGTGTATCTGTGATAAACAAACCATCACATACTTGCCATCATCTGCATGGAAAGCCACAGAATTTGGAAGCCAGCCGGGCTGATGGTCCAGTTTGTACAACTGAGGTACCAAACCGACAGCAATCATCCCCCTCACTCCTGTGTCAACGATTGTCACCTGGAAAGAGCACACGTGTGATTGTTAGGACACATGAGACAACACGTCCTCAAACTTAAGACCGTTAAATGTGACCCATCACATCAAACCAAGGATTAAGTTGCTAGTGGTGTAGTGAGATTATAGGCAGCTATAGTGAACTGAGAGGAAAATTGGATGTTGTCTAACTAGGATGAATAAAAACTTAATCTATGGCTCCCTTGAAGAAAGTGTCTGAAATATAAGAATGTTCTGAAGCTCTTTTCTGAGCAGCAGTACCAACAACTAATGACCAGCTGGGTTATCCTGGTATCAAAGTATGGTTCAAGGTTTCCACTTAAAAACAAAGTCAAGAAATCTTGAATAAAATACAGCAAAAACTGAATTTGGAGCGATTTTCCAGGGTCTCTTCCCCATTAGCAAGACAAACCTGGAACCACTCGTATTAGGGTAATTTAGTTACCAGAATGTACCCTAACAGG